CTTATTAAAATTTATTCATGGTCAGACTGGTGAATCTCTAAACAACCCCAGACAGATAACAGTCTGAAAGCCATAAACAGGCTGGAAATCGTAAATGAAGGTAGACTCAGAAGTTTTCTATATGCCAGGGTTACACACACTAATACCTTACGATATAGACCAAAGTGCTATTTCTGCTTGTTCTTCAGTGCTGATTTCAGAAATTTCTTTTCAGTTGTCACAGGTCTTATCAGCATTCTGTAAGCTTGTCTTTAAGATCTTTGTCTTCTATTTCATCTGGAACTGGACGCGCTGTACTACTCAGTTTCAACAGTGACTCCCACGTCTCTCTCAGCACCTAATCTCATCCTTCGTGGTTTGTTTTCCATTGTTAAAGGTCACTGCTCCATCTTTATGTGCCCTTGGGCTTCCTTAATGTCTATTTCAATGCCCTTCTTTAGTTTAGTTTACCTATTCAGCCTCTCCCTGGTTATAACTACTTCCATGTTTTTCCTTTTTAGCATCAAAAATTTAGAAATCATTCCAAGAATTTTAAATATGTGTCTAGCTCCCATCTTTGCTTTTCCTCAGAATGCCCAGTATTTACTGTATGGACCAGGATAGTCATAAATGGATCAAGTAATATTCTTCTAATTTTTGCTTCAATTTCAACAATTTTATTTCTTATTTCTTCCAAAGAGACCTCGAAGTTGACTTTTCCCTTGTCTTCTGTCTCTTAGTTCCACGATAGCCAGTTTTAGGTTAAGTAGAAACTGTTTCTTCATTTGACTTCTATGGTCTCTCATCAACAACTGGTTTGTCATCAGATCACTTTTGATGACACAAAAGTCATCGACTTCCTGATCTTTACAGTCCAATAAGCAAGGATAATCATAGCTTGATAGCAGGGGTAGGGTGAAGAGCAGGATTCAGTTTCTTTGTTGGTAAGCCTCTTTAAGGAAGCAGAAACTGGCCAATATACTCTTCAGAGCCATAATATTCACAAGAGGCATTATGATTTCTCCAAGCTAATCACTTCATCTTTGTCTGAAAGCCATTCTCAGACTTAGTCAGCAAGCACCACAGGCCACAAGTCCCCACATGTTGACAGTTCTTAGTGGCAGGCCTTACACAACTCCTTGCTGTGGACACCTGCACATATGGCTTCCCAGAGCTACCAGTAGGACCAGACTCCATTTGTCTATTGTGTGGCTAGTCATAACTTCTTGCCTTCCCACAATCACCTTGACCATGTTCCTTGAAACCTTCAAGACAACCAAGTCACTTCACCGGGATCTAGTGGGTTCTAGATCTAGGGGAGAAGAGGATGAGGGCATTCTAATGTGTAATTTCCTGAAACTTACTCCTGGGGATCAGAAACTGTACCATAGCTAATCCTGTGGGATGAACCTACAATATCTACCCTGACTCCCAGACCCTAGTCAGCCTTGGCAACAACCATGGTCAAGGCCAGTTTGAGAACCTGTCTCAAAACATAATTTGCAATGACATCTTTTACCTTTCTCCCTCTTTAAAATATGGAGGGGGGGCATATTTCCTCTTTAAAAGTTGCTTCTTTCATTTTTATCTTTATTTATTTCTTTACTTATTTGGTTTTTTGAGACAGGGTTACAGTGACATTTCATTTGTATTTTAATAAATAAAGCTTACCGGAAGATCAGAGAGTAAAATAGCCTCACTGGTCAGCCTTATTGATCAGGCAATGGTAACACACACCTTCAATCCCAGTAGACACACTAGTAGCTATAGAAAACGGGAAGTTCATGCCTGATGGAGGAGGGTCATCTGTCTATCTGTTGCTTTCATTGGTTAATTAATAAAGAAAGATGCTTGGCCTGATAGGGCAGAATTTAGATAGGCAGAGTAGACCGAGCAGAATGCTGGGAAGAGGGGAAGTGAGGCAGTTGCCATAGCTCTCCTCTCTGAGATGGATGCAGATTAAGAATATTCCCAGTAAGACACCACCTCGTGGTGCTACACTCATTAGAAATGGGTTAATCAAGATGTGAAAGTTAGCCAGTAAGAGGCTAGAGCTAATGGGCCAAGCAGTGTTTAAAAGAATACAATTTGTGTATTGTTATTTTGGGTATAAAGCTAGCCGTGCGGGAGCTGGGCGGGAACGTAGCCTGCTCCCACTACACATGCCTTTAATCCCAGCCCTAGAGAGGAATATAAAACGGGAGGAGGAAGTTCTCACACAAAGTCTCATTCTGAGATTCCTGGAGGCAAGATCACTATTTTCAGAGTGAGGCAGAGGTAAGAGCCAGTGGCTGGCTGCTTTGCTTTTCTGACTTGATGACGGACGTTACAAAATAATCCGACACTAGTTAGGATCTGGAGACAGGATTGCTATTTTTGAAGTGAGGTAGAGGTAAGAGCAAGTGGCAAGCTGCTTTGCTTTTCTGACTTGATGACAGAAGTTAGAAAATAATCCCACACTAGTTCAGAATTACATATAATAAAGGGTTATTTATTTGGGGGCAGACTCATAGATCATAGTTTTAGATCACAGTCCTCTGCATGAACAGGGAATAGGAACTGAAGCCAGCAGCCAGAAGTAAGCACACACTTTACAGCAGCATTTATAGTATGAGACCATACCCAAGTGAGTAGATATCCTAAAGGCTATTGGCTGTAGGAGCTTCTATATCATTGTCCTTCAGGTTGAACCCAAATTTCTATCCCTGAGTTTTTATTAACCATACTTCACAGGATTTCTCTGTGAAGCAGTCCTGGCACTCCTGAAGCTCACTCTATAGACCAGGCTGGTCTTAAACTCACAAAGATCCACCAGCCTCTGCCTCCTGAGTGCTGGGATGAAAGGTATGAACCACCACCATCCAGCTTCTTTCATTTTTATTATGCATGATAACATCTAAAATAATAATTTATAGTATTACCCTTCCCTGATTAGTATAACTCCTCACAGATTAACTGATTAGCAAATAACATTCAATCAATACCTTTAGATGTGTTAGAAATATAGCTAAAGTTTTATTATCTTTTGAGGTTGTTTTCTATGTTAAAGTATTAAATTTGCTTCTTCTGTATATCAGTAATCTTCTTCTTCTTCTTCTTCTTCTTCTTCTTCTTCTTCGAGACAAGAGTTCCTCTGTGGAACAGCCATAGATATCCTGGAACTAGTTCTTGTAGACCAGGCTGACCTCAAACTCACTGAGATTTGCCTGTCTCTATTTCCCAAGTGCTGGGATTAAAGACATGCACCACTACCAACAGTTTAAGTTAAAGTATTAAATTTGCTTATTTTGTGTATCAAGAATCTGGTTTCATTTTCTAGGTGTAAAGTGTTTTGTTTTTATTATTTATTCTGTTTATTTATGTATGGATGAACCTATAGGCATTGTGCAGGTGCCCTTGAAGGCCAGAATGAAGGGACTCTGGCTAGCTTCAGTGTGGCAAACAAGGCTCTGGCAGGCCTTGCCCTTCTTTCTAATTTCCTGTTTAGAAAACAACAACATTAGATTACATTTCTAAAATTAGCCACCAAAGTCTATTCCCTTATTCGGTCATTTCCTCCTCTTGGGGCTGACTACTAAGAAGTATTGAAGTACAGATATCAGAAGGTTCCCTTCAACTCACCCAGTTAGCATGCCCAATTAAAATTAAAACTTTATCCTAATACAGGGTTTCCCCTTGTACCTTTATAAACTGCCTCCTGTTTACCATGTCTGTCTCCCCTCTCCAGAAGCAGTCCTTTGTCAATCCAGGACAAATACTCCTGCTCTCTCACCTTTGTTCTGTTTCCCTTCTCCCTGTCCTCGGTGTCCTGTCCTTTCCTCTTATTTCCCAACCTCTGTCCCTCTGGGAAAATAAATCTCCTTTCTGCTAAGAACTTGACCTTGCAAGTCCTGAGACAATACTTCCCGCCTGGCTACTGGCCAATCAGCGTTTATTTAAACATAATTGACAGAATATAGACAATTCTCCCACACCAGTCTAGTTTTCTTCTTGAGTTGTCTATACTTTGGGAATCATATTTAAAATTATTAGATCCATGTCAAGAATATGTTTGCATACTTATTTTCTAGTAGATTTAGGATTTTGTGCCTTATATTTTTACCCACATTGAATTAATTTGCATGTTTGGTATGAGAAGATTCTAATTTCTTTTCTTTTTCATGCTGGGAAAATCTGCTGCTTAGAAACTATCTCATGTTTTCCAACCTTTCTTTCTCTATGACAAACAATATTCACCTTTCTCTTCTCCTGTAGGGACTGATGTCTGGTCTTACAAGATGTTTTTGCTGAAATTGGTGCTAGGTTTAGAGTCAAGTCAGATTCTTTACTAGCATTTCTGAATATACTTAGTGAAAGTCCTCTGAATCTTCTGAGTTTACTCAAATAGGACATCTGAAAAGACTCTTATGTTAGATTCCATGTATATAATGGATCTGTTGGTAGGTTTATTGAACTCTCCTGAAGGTACTCCAAGCAGCCTGAAAAAGAAAAACATATTTTTCAAAGATCCTGAAAAATCTCACTCAATTTTTTTTTTTAGTTCCATCCATTTGCCTACAAATTTCAAGATGTCATTATTTTTTTCTGCTGTGTAGTACTCCATTGTGTAAATGTACCACATTTTCCTTATCCATTCTTTGATTGAGGGGCATTTAGGTTGTTTCCAAGTTCTGGCTATGACAAAAAATGCTATTAGAGTGAGATGACCTAGACCCAGAAAGACAATTACCATATGTCCTCACTCATAAGTGTTTTAAACATAAAGCAAAGAAAACCAGCCTACAAATCACAATCCCAGAGAACCTAGACAACATTGAGGACCCTAACAGAGACCTACATGGATCTAATGTACATGAGAAGTAGAAAAAGACAAGATCTCCTGAGTAAATTGGGAGCATGGGGACCAGAGAAGGAGGGTGAAGGGGAAGGGAGAGAAAGGTAGGGGAGCAGAGAAAAATGTATAGCTCAATAAAATTAATTTAAAAAATTAAAAAGAAAAAAATCTTGAAAATCCCACACTTGCCTGTGATTCCATAGGTTGGGTAGTGGAAGTAGTAATATCAGGAATTTAGGGCCAGTCTTAGCTTCAGAGTGGATTTTTGATAACCTGGGCTACATGCCACACTATGGCAGAAGACCAAAAAGTAAGAAAAAACAATAACAAAATAAACACCCGAAGTTCAACAAATGACGATGAAATTATCAAACTCAAGAACATTTTTATGCACAATATTTTTGGTGAACTTCTTTTTCCAGCTAATGTATAAATACCCTATGATATAATTAAAATTTAAGATTTATCTGGTTTTATCACATTGCTGTCCCAAGCAACCTGGCCAATTTAGGCTTGCCAGCAGAAGAGTTTTGGATCCTTACTAACCCTGGTTATTGTGCATAACATTTTAATATAAAGTCTTAATTGACTCCCAAGTAGCCATTGTCCTGGAGAGGACTCCCAAGTCCACATAATGATGTGAAAGTGATACAGTCCATGTCTCCCAGTCCCAGCTATGTGAATGTGACCCACTCAAGAACAAGCACAAGAGAGTATATTTTCAGTTTCTGTTCTTCACCTTTCAGCTGACACAGAGCAGAGCAAAGCCTTGATTATTGTCATAGTAGTTCTGATGCTTCAGTCCATTATTGCTTGACTCCATGTTTCTGGACCTGTAGAGAGGCAAAACATGGTGGAAAAGCATGGTGAAGCTGGGCACCCAATGGCAGACAGGTGGCAACGAGACCAATGTAGATTTTTATATAGGTGTGTAGATTGCTGCGGGAGGAATATTTCAAATTTCATTAAAAAATACACAAGCATTAATGGCTACTGATGTATTATGAATGTTTTTATTGTTTTTAAACTTTATTTTTATTAGCATATGTTAAATATATAGGAAGGAGCTTCTTGATTATGTTTCTATATGTACAGATAATATGCTTTCATTACATTCAACTACCACTCATTCTTCACCCTCCTTCTAATCCCAATTCTTCCTCTTTTAGTTGCATATATTTTCATCCTCTAGTGAATAAAGAAAGAAAATGTGGTATTTTCATTCTTTGTGGTATGTGTGGATTATTTAACATTGTATGATGATCTCTATTTCTGTTTTTTCTTCAAGAGATATAATTGCATTCTTCATTAGAGCTAAGCAAAATTTCACTATGTGTAGTAATATTTCATTTGTAATTTAACAAATAAAGCTTGCCTGAAGATCAGAGTGCAGAGCTAAGCCACTATTTAGCCATAGAGGCCAGGCAGTCGTGACACACACCTTTAATCCCTGAACTCAGAAGACAGTGGCAGATGGATCTCTGTGAGTTCAAGGCCACCCTGGGCTACATGAGGTTGAATCTATCTAAAACAGATAGATCTGTTACACAGCTGTAAAACAGCTTACATAAAGGTGATCCCAGAACTTAGCATCACATGCCTTTAATTTCAGCACTAGGAAAATGGAAACGGAAGTGATAAGGCTGGGCAGAGAGAGGAGTATAAGGTGGGAGGAGAAAGGAGCTCAGATGCAGTCTCAGGATTCACTCTGAGATACAGTATGAGGTTTTGTAGAGACAGCATACGATCTGAGGTTTAATAGAGAGAGCATGTAATTTAAGGATTCAATCTGAGCATGCGGTCTGAGGATTTGTAGAGACAGGATTACCCATAAGTCTGATGATTTGGTGAAGGTAATAGGCCTTTCTAGTGGCTGGCAGCACTGTTCCTCTGACCTCTCAGTTTTCACTCCTAATATCTGACTTCACATTTTTATTAAGAACAATGAGAATTCACACATCAATTGTTTATCAATACATTTTATTCAGCTTCTGAAACACATCTTGCTGAATTCTATAATTTAGCTATTGTGAATAGCACAACACTGCATTTTAAATAGAAAAAATTAAAGCAGTAGAGAATCATATGCTTTTCATAATAGTTAAGGAGACTACCAAAGGCCTTTAATTATTATAGAAGACAAAGGATGGTCTAAATGAAAGATACATTAAGGAACAGGTTTAGGGGGGCACAAATGCACATAGTAATAAATTTTGTGCTTCATGATTCAAGACTATTTTGAGTATGCTTCTTAAGAAGAGTAAACATTGAGAATTCTCTGTTCAGTTCAGTGCCCCATCTTTTAATTGGGTTAATTAGCATTTTAAAGTCTAGTTTCTTGAGTTCTTTATATATTTTGGAGATCAGAAGAAGTTCAAATGGCCAAAAGGCACTTAGGGTCATGCTCAACCTCCTTAGTGATCAGGGAAATGCAAATCAAAACAACTTTGAGATACCATCTTACACCTGTCAGAATGGCTAAAATCAAAAACACAAATGATAGCCTTTGTTGGAGAGGATGTGGAATAAGGGGTACACTCATCCATTGCTGGTGGGAATGCAAACTTGTGCAACCACTTTGGAAAGCAGTGTGGCGGTTTCTCAGGAAATTCGGGATCAACCTACCCCAGGACCCAGCAATACCACTCTTGGGAATATATCCAAGAGATGCCCTATCATACTACAAACGCATTTGTTCAACTATGTTCATAGCAACATTATTTGTAATAGCCAGAACCTGGAAAAAACCTAAATGCCCTTCAATGGAAGAATGGATGAAGAAAGTGTGGAATATATACATATTAGAGTACTACTCAGCGGTAAAAAACATTGACATCTTGAATTTTGCATGCAAATGGATGGAAATAGAAAACACTATCCTGAGTGAGGTAACCCAGACCCAAAAAAGATGAACATGGGATGTACTCACTCATAATTGGTTTCTAGCCATTAATAAAGGAAATTGAGCCTATAATTCGTGATCCTAGAGAAGCTAAATAAAAAGGTGAACCCAAAGAAAAACATATAGTTATCCTCCTGGATATTGGAAGTAGACAAGATTGCTGGGCAAAAATTGGGAACTTGGGGGTGGGGAGGGATGGGGGAAAGGGGAGACGGGGAGAGAAAAGTGAGAAGAGAAGGATGGGGAGAGCTTGGGGGAATGGGATGGTTGGGATAAAGGAAGAGTGGATATGGGAGCAGGGAAGTATATATCTTAATTAAGGGAGCCATTTTAGGGTTGGCAAGAGACTTGACTCTAGAGGGGTTCCCAAGTATCCAGGGAGATGTGCCCAGCTAGTTCCTTGGGCAGCTGAGGTGAGGGAGCCTGAAATGGCCCGATCCTATAGCCATACTGATGAATATCTTGCATATCACCATAGAACCTTCATCTGGCCATGGATGGAGATAGAGACAGAGACCCACATTGGAGCACCAGACTGAGTTCCCAAGGTCCCAATGAGGACCAGAAGGAGGGAGAACATGAACAAGGAAGTCAGGGCTGCGAGGGGTGCACCCACCCACTGAGACGGTGGGGCTGATCTAATCGGAGCTCACCAAGGCCTGGTGGACTGGGACTGAAAAAGCATGGGATAAAACTGAACTCTCTGAACATGGCAGACAATGAGGGCTGTTAAGAAGCCAAGGACAATGGCACTGTGTTTTGATCCTACTGCATGTATTGGCTTTGTGGGAGGCTAGTCTGTTTGGATGCTCACCTTCCTAGACCTGGATGGAGGGGGGAAGACCTTGGACTTCCCACAGGGCAGGAAACCCGGACTGCTCTTTGGACTGGAGAGGGAGGGGGAGGAAAGTGTAGGGAGGGGGAGGAAAATGGGAGGAGGGGAGGAGGCAGAAATTTTTAATAAAAAAATAAAAAAAGAAGAGTAAATGTTGAAAAACTCTGAATATATGGTTGGGATTGTAGCTCAATGATACAGTACTTGTCCAGCATGAAATCCCAGTTCTGAAAAAATTAAATTCTGACAACAAAGACATGAGAGGGGGAGAAAACAAGTTTAAATTTTCAAGAGATAGAGAAAACAGTTTTAATTAGATCTGTTTTTATGAAAACTAAAACATATTATTTGCCAATTGAGCCAAGAGTTAACATGTGAACAGCTATAGACTTGATAATAAATTAGCCCACTAAGAATGAAAGTGTGCTTTCTATTCTTTCCATCTAAATAAATAACCCTTTATTATACTCAATTGTGAGTTAGTGTGAGATTTCTTTTTAGCGTCTTCTCTTCACAATTTGTTCAAGATAATGATTAAATCATACCTATGGATACAGAGGAGACTATACATGAAATATAAACAAGGATTTGGTTACTTTAGTTCACTAACAACAAGAGTTCAGTATTTTTTTTCTTCTCCAAATTCCTTAGATACTTTTAAACTCTCTTTTAACTTTTTTCCCTCCCTTTTACCCATTCCATCTCAACTTGATAGTAAATGTTGAAAACTGGCAACTCATGAAAGACTTGAAAAATTGACAAAGATTAAGGTAGTATCATATCTAAATTACACAGGTTTCTCCTTACTTAATAAAGATAGTATTATAGAGTCACACAAAAAAATAACAAAGGCTATCAATCTTGCAAGTCTGCTAGAGTACAATGAACACAACCAGTCAAGGTGCAAAATGACTAATGAGTGCTATCTAGTCCCTATTGTTAAGAGGATTTTCTGTTCAACAGCATAACAGCTTAAACTGACTACTACATAAGAAATTGGAGATTTTGGGTGGAAGGAGAGGAGGGAGGGCAAAAGGGAAGAGGGGGGAGAAGGGGAAAGAGGAGAAGAATATAAGGGAACAGGATGGTTGACATTGGGGAAGAACAGAGAGAGCAAGGAAAGAGATATCTTGATTGTGGGAGCCATTATGGGGCTAGTGTGAAACCTGGCACCAGGGAAATTCCTAGGAATCCACAAGGATGACCCCAGCTAAAACCCAAAGTATAGTGGAGAGGGTACTTGAACTGACCTTCCCCCTAAAATCAGACTGATGACTACTGCCACGGACCGGCTCAGGGGAGCCACTCAGACTGCGGAAGAAGCAGGGTCCTGGTAACAGGAAGGCACAAGTTCGGCGAATGACAGACAGACACAACACACAAGAGAGTGGTTGGAATCTGCTGCGATTTTACTGAATTCATGTTTTCATTATATAGTAAACAAAGAACAAATCAGAAGGTTATGTATCATTGGTTGGCACAGTATGAAAGCTTCTTTTAGTCACATAAGCAATATTTAAGAAAAGTATATTATCAAGAACAGGTGTTAGACATAAAGCATCCTTAGAAGAGGAAATCTTGTCCTTGGGAATTTAAACCTCAGACAAGCGGTTTCATCTTATGAATAGAAACTTTCTGTCTCATTATCGCTATCACGGCCCTTCCTCTTCCTAACCCTTTATTTCATCTAGTGACCAAATATACCTAATCAGTTCTCTGCACCTGTTGAACTATACTTTTTAGGACCTTCTTATGCAGCAGAAATCATGGGGGTTGGGATCTAGCAAGCCTATCCATAAAGTTCAAAGTATAATATAACAGTCTTTGTCCATCAACATTAACCCATCTATTCCCTTGTTCATCATACACCCTGTGTATGACAAAGGTTCTGCTGTAGTCTTATACATTTCCATACTGTGCTTCCCTATCCCAGAGCTGTTTCTGAAGAGAATGATCATTGTCTTGTATATATAAAGACTATCATTATTATGAAAGAAATTGTGCAAAGCTCATATCCTGCATAGCCAGCTACTCGAGAAACCCGTCTATGCCTCAGCCGTGGCTAATACCAGGTTGTCTGCCATTGACTTCCAAGAAGCCTAGTCCCATGGGACACGTAGCTTCCTGTCTGGCATAATGACATATGTAATGTCACACAGACAACACTGGAGTTGGTGTGGCAGACTACCTTAATTGTCATTATATTTTGTCCAGAAGCTGATGGAAGTAGATGCATAGATCCACAGCTAACAATGGGCCGAGCTTCTGGAGACCAGTACAAGAAAGTGATGAGCAATATTATGAGCAAAGGGGTCAAGACTGTGATGGGGATACTCACAGAAACAGCTGACCTGAGCTAATGGGAGTTTACTGACTCTGGACTCACAGAAGGGGAACTTGCATAGGACCAAACTAGGCTCTCTGAATGTGGGTGGCAGATGTGTGATTGTGACTATCTTTGCAGCCACTGACCATGGGACCAAGATTTATCCCTACTGCATGAACTGGAGTTTTGGATCCCATTCTTTTTGGAGGAATACCTTGCTCAGCCGAAATTGTTGCCAGAGGTTTCTGTCCTGCCTGATCCCGCAGCTGTCCAGTACCAAAGAAACACACAGAGGCCTACATTAATTATAAACTGGTTGGCTTATTAACTCAGGCTTTCTTATTAACTAACTCTTACATCTTACATTAACCCATAATTCTCATCTGTGTTAGCCATGTGGCTTGGTACCTATCAGCAAGGCATTCTCATCTTGCTTCCTCTGTGTCTGGGTGACTACAGACTGAAGCCTTTCCTCTTCCCAGACTCTCCTGTTCTGGTCACCCCACCTATCAATAAAATGGCCAATCAGTATTCTATTAAACTTATACAAGTGGAAATCTTTACAGGGTACAGGACCATTGTCCCATAATACTAAATATATAGTGGAGGGCCTTTTTCTGCATCAAAATTAGATGTCAGACTTTATTGACTCTCCATGGAAAGCCTCATGCTCTCCGAGGAGTGGATGGTGGGGGGGAAAGGTGGGGAAAGCTGGAAGGGGGCAGGAAGTGGGTCTGGGATAGGTATGTAAAATGAGAAACAATCGTTTTTAAAAATAAATTAATTTAATAAATAAAAAATTGGAGAACTGACAAAAAGAAAAATTCGAACTAAAGGATATGAAGTGTGTTTAAATACTGCAACTATAAAATCATTTATGGAACACAAGTAACTATGTAGAGGAGAAAACATATAGCCAATCTAGTTTTACAAGAATCATTATTGATTACATTGTTTTCCTCATCTGCTATCTTCACTTTGTTAGGCCAGTGCATGATTGATTTTGGGTGTGTTACTCATATTATATGTCACATTATGCAAATAGAGATGAAAAGATAAATCAGACATAAATCAATCTAATGGCCAGTAGATTCGGATGAGGTGCTTCAGTAGTTTCTTCTTAGTGGCTTTACTAGCTACTCGTTTCTCCTCCAGACTGATTTCTTGCCTACCACTCAGCCTTGTTTACATCAGATTCTAGAAATGAGACTCCGAGCCACAAAGGAAAATTAGCATGTGGCCTTCTCATTGGAAAAAGTCAAGGGGAGAACTATGAAAAAAATTTTCTGGCAAGAACTACAGGGAACACTGAACCTTCTGCAAGGCTAATTATCTGACTAAAGCCTTCAATGCTTGTGGAAAGACCGGAATGTTACAGGTCCAGAGTCTAATGTCAATTCATCTTGGGCCATCTTTAGCCCAGTCTGCATGACCTAACGATTTTTGTGATGTTGTAAATCCTTTGGAATAGACAAACTGGTAGCTTCCACCAAGTGAAATACTAAGAAATCTGTCAGACAGCATCTGAGATCCACAGCTAAGATTTCCCTGCCTTGTTTCAACATGCTTAACTCAAGTTCCCACCAATGTATTTGAAAAATATCTTGATTTTAATACTTTTGTTGTTGCTGTTCTATTACTATAACACCTTCATAAAGCTGTAACCATTTTGGAACAAAAAAGGTGGGGTAGTCCAATCCTCATCCATATTTGCCTTTATAATAAACTAGCTCTTATTCCCTTTTGCAAAAATATTGGACTTCTTCCTACTGGTTCTGCTAACCTAGGCTTCTGCTCTTATTATTCACACCATTGTACTCTAAACCGATCATCATTTTTCACCAGTGCTTTTCAGGGTTATATCCATCCCACCAAATGGTTCTATTCCTTTGATCCTTATTTATGATAATTCAAGAAGTCTAGGAACATGAGAGTATCTTCCAAACAAAGGCACAAAGCTGGCCAAACTGGTTCCCAACTACTCTTAAAATGCTCCCAAAATCTCATTTATTTGTTTTAGTCAGTGTAAAACTGATGGCCTCTAGATACCCATCTTTTAATTTCTACCCTTTTCTTCCCCTTTAAAAAGCAAAAACAAACAAACAAACAAAACCCAGAGTTTCTGTAGCTCAGGTTGGCCCTCGACTCTATATAACTAAAGGTGCCCTTAAACTCTTGACCCTCCTGCATCCACTTTACAAAATATTGGATTACAGGTATGCAACATCAAGCTTGGTTTACACTTCCTTTTCTTAACAAAGTACCTGAAAAAAAAAAAACCTTTACAGTTGTATGTAAATCAACCTTCCTCTTTTTCTCTTACACACACACACACACACACACACTCAACATTTGTGAGGACCCAAGAAGCACACCTTATAAGAAAGGCAAAGGCTTTTGTCTCCTCAGTGTCTGTAGGTTAGATCTTGTCGTAAACACAAACAAAAAAATGCTGCTGGACTTTCTCTACACTGACAAGCAAGCTGCACTTTCTTCATTTCTCTACTTAGCTCAGACTGTCCTCTTAAAACATCCAAATTGCATCTGCTCAACTAGGAACAGACATCCCCCTGCTGTTCCAAGTTATTAATGTTTCAGCCGCTCTAATCTACCTTTGATATCATCTACCTGAGTCCTTTCTCTAGGATAAAATGATACAAATGATAAAATGTGGAGTAAAAGCACCTCTCCTTTCGGTTGGCTTCCAAAGTACTTCTTTACAGCCTGTGTCATAAAAATAGAGGTCAATACAGATTTCTAGCTTGGTGCCCTTAAAGAGCACATGCCATAGTGCATGGCATGTCACAGGTATTCACGGAATATTTAATTTTTGATGACATAATACTGCCCACAATAACTCTTAAATCTAAAAAGGCTCGATATCCTTTGCCATACTATCCCTTTCTCTTCTTTCTAGGTTAGCAATCGAACAGGATGGGAAGCATCTAGGGTCTCTCCTTTCCCTAGCCTGAACCCTACAGCAAAGAACCACAGAAAAACCCAAGTCCCTCCTCCAGCTCGCGACATCTGGGGAGAAAGTTCCCGAAAAGGGGGGGGGGGGGAGGGGATCTGAAGAGAACGGGTGGTTTTCTAGGGCCGGGGACTTCCTTCGGATGGCCCAGGGGCTCGGGCTAGCGAAGGGCCCGAGAGTGGGCAGGCTCTGAGCGGCCGGAGCGGAAGCAGGTCAGCGGGCCAGAGTCCCAGAAGCCGGGGTGAGAGCGGAAGAGGGTCGCGCGCAGCGGAAGGTAGCGTGTGGAAGGTGGCGTACGGAGAGCGGAAGAGGGGGGGCTTAAGAAAGCGGAAGGGAAAGTCAGCGCTGGGGTTCTGGGGCCGTAAACCTGGACGGCGGCGGTCGGCGTGCGTGGGAGTGCGGCTCCTCGGGGAACCCCGGAACCCAGTGTGGCATGATGGGGGAGGAGCGCCGTGCCCGGCGAATCCCGAGCGGAGGAGCGCGCGGCTGCGCACCGGGTCGCCGCGCAGGCGCGCTGCCCTCTGCCGGCTCCTGAAGGCAGTGCAGGCGCTGCTCAGGTGGGTCTGGGGCGATTCCGGGGTGTGTTGCAGAGATCGTGGGGAAACTGCGAGATTTGAATCGAACCAATAAGCTGAGTTCTGAGTACTTTGGAATCCCCTTGAGAACTTAGGGGATGTGAACCGAACTAAGCGGGTGTTAGTAAAGTTTTTTTACCCCTTCCCCACTTTTGTCCAAGCCGGGAAAGGCTTTCTGGAGGGCGTAAAAGTTAATACTTCTTATTTTCCTAACTTCCACGTCTGATTCTATAACGTATTACTCTCTCTTCTTCTGGACGCTACAGGTTTAGCAATCAGAGCAAGCCTAATTGGAGACTTAGTGTGAAGAAATAGTATTCTCCTTGGAGGAACTGACAGGTAAAATTATGAAATCTCTGGGGTGGTTGAAGGAAAAAGGGGCAGGGCAACGAAACGGCTTGTTTTTGGACACCTCATTGTTACTTGACAGCCGATTAGCTGATGATCTGATGGGGCACACAGAGCAGTCAGTAATCGTCATTCCTGAAAGGCAAACCGGCTTGCAGCGGGGTGAGTTAGACTGAAGAACCAGCTATGGTCAAGTCCTGAAGCCTACGAATTTGTTTTAAGGAAATTATTTGCCAGGAAGTATTCCCAGCGCTTCAGGTGCTCTCTTGGCAACAAAGTTTTGCAGGACAATTTGTCAGAAATAGCCGGGACCGTGTTTGATGCGATCACAGATGTTGGTAATGGAGATGGGATTTTATGCAGACTAGGGAAGTGGAGGGGATGATTTGGCATTACTGTCCAAAATACAAAAGATTGTAACATCATGTAAGCTGAAGTTTAGGATGGCAAAAAATTAGATTTGAGGAAATGAACGTTACTTTCTTGGGTGTGTGTGGGCGCGGGGGAGGTGTGGGTAGCATGCAGGGGGATTTGAGAGTTAAGGTGTGTGAAATTGAAAACCTGAGAAACAGGTTATATATTTCAATCTAAAGTGCCTTCTGATTTTTTATTGTTTGTTTCTTTTCTTACTCTGATTGATTTAAATATGGAATTATGTAAACGTTCTAGCCCAAGTTACTGATTCCAGCTTGGGGTTAAATAGAAAAGGATTGTTAGTGGGAGAATTGACGAGGGAAACCTTTGGTCCCAGATGGCCAGAGGGGTATCCTTTTCAGCTGTCCAGTGGTTTGGCAGAAAGTTTTCTCAGCTGGAGCCATCCGTTCCCTGTTAGGACAGCAGAACAGCCCACATGATACGGTTTGGTTATTTTTTTGCACTGAAAAATGTTTTATAAAATTGTAACTGCCCCCTTTTCATTGCCTTGTCTTGCAAAGAGTAAAGCAAATGTAGGTTGTTTATGTGTGTCTAATCTGTGGCAGCACCTGAATCTTAAACTCTTTACTTGAATTTTCAGATGTTGCACTAATTCAGTAATATCTAAGATCTTAGTATCATGTACATTTAAAACCGATTTATTTTTACTGTTAGGATGATACAGATCTTGACTGGGTTCCCTCAAATGTACTAATCTTTTTTTTTTTTCTCTTTACTGGTAAATCACCTCTAAATCTAAGAGTGTATTAGTCCTAACCCTTAGCATCCATTTGCCTTGTGAGAGGAAACAAAAATTACTGATATATGTAACATGTTTACATGTTTACTTGGGGTAATATTAATAATCACTATTAGGGAAAACTTAGGAATCTGTTTTAAAGTACCAGGTCAGAAAAAAAGGAGGAAAAATAATTTAAGGGGGGAAATAAATATCATATTATATTTGTGAGACTCTGATTATTTGAGTCCATGTATGTATATATGTACATGTATATGTGGGGGGTGATCATGAGAGAAGAGATGCAAGTTGTAAGTAAAGGCTAAATCAAGGAAATCTTTGGACATACTTCTTTCGTTAGTAGAGAGGCATAAAAAATATCTCAATTTCAGAATATACCAATTGAATTATAGGGACATCCAGGTATAAATGAGGCCTGAATCAGAGCTAGGAATGTGAGATTTGTTATCTTACAGCCTTTAGGAAAGTTGTGGGCAGTAGAATAAAAGACCTGTAACAGTTGATAAAAAATGCACACACACAGTGTTGCAAGACACTGTTCCTGGGGGAGGGAGAGTTCAGTCTAAACTGAGAACCAATGACAGGCCAACGTCACAGTCCTCTAAGTACCTTGGTGAACTAGTGCACTTACTGGTTTCCTTACAGGAGCAGGAATGACTCAAAGGCAGCTGCATCCCTGAAAGTCCACACCAGCATGGACAAACACGTAGGAAAGCTGGAACCTTGAAGGAAAATGAGATGTGGGCTAGCCTGGCCTACTTAACCAGGCCATGTCTTAATATTTTTTTTAAATGGAACTTACCTTCATTGGAGAGAATTCAAGAGAAAAGCTTATCATTATATCTAGATATAATGGCAGAAAAATAAAACTGAGTCTTTTATTGGAGCAATTTCATACTTCTTTCTTTTCCAGAAATGGCAAAAAGTCTTCTGACTACATCTCTGTCTGCAAGGATGAAACTGTTACAAACAGGGGTGTCGCTTTATAACACATCCCATGGCTTCCACGAGGAGGAAGTGAGAAAGATACTGGAACAGTTTCCTGGCGGCTCCATTGACCTCCAGAAGAAGCAGAATGGCATTGGCATTCTCACTCTGAATAACCCCAGTAAAATGAACGCCTTCTCAGGTATGGGATATCCCCTCGCCAGAGAGAGAGTGACACTGAGTCAGAGCCTGCTATTGTAGTTTCCGGGCCTGGCCATGCTGACAAAATCCTTGAAAGTCTTGGTATTCGTTGTTGTTGTTGTTGTTGTGTGTGTGTGTGTGTGTGTAAATGTCTGTAATGTAAACCAGAAATATTTTGTAATTATGCATATGGTTATTTTTTCATTATGAGTGCAAATATTAGTAAAAATGAAATTCATGCGTAGAGGAAAATATTCTAGTAGTCATCATTTAGGAAGCAAAATCAAATAGAGCTGCCCTCCCAGCCCTGAGTCCATACCTTCCTTGCCATGATGGCATGTGCCCTCACAAACTGTGAGCTGAAATAAAGCCTTCCTTTCTTCATTTGTTTCTTCTCAGGAATTTGACATCGCAGTGAGAAAAGTAACTACCAAAGATTCCACACAGCAGCTCTATGGAGTTTTGTAAAAAATTTTTATTGTTTAAATGAAGATCAAAATGTCCCTAACAAGGAATTTTTGTAGCATTAGATTTATTTATTTTATTGTACTATTCAGCTAGTTTAAGAAACTAAGTTTTGATAAGACAGTCTAAGATTTTGGTTCTATGTATATCAAACATTAATGCTTTAAAATATTTTAAACAAAAATAACATACACGAAATTACATGTGAGATACTTTCTTTTTTATTTTTATTGTATGCCTTTGAAATCTGTTATTACATTTAGTTCATATCTCAGCTGACCATGCACATTTCGGGTGTTCAGAATTTGCATGTAATTAACGGTGGTAGTTGCTTATATTCAGTTATATAGGTGAGTATTGGTTTGATGCATAATGTGCAAAACAAATAAAAGCACAGCTGCTTTAAGTATGGTGTTTTGTTAGCTTGGGTGGGGAGATGAGTGAACCCCCAGTGCCCTTGCTTAAAAATAATCAAAGCAGACATTCTAAGGCCGTTTAGTGTGTAAGGTCTCCTTCAACTTGTTAGGCTTACTGAACTAAGTCAAAAGAGTGAGTTTAAAATTAACTAGTAGTACAGTTTTTTTTTTTTATGTTCATAGACACCATTATTGTTTAGGCACTTAAATATCATACATGATTGAAGATGTATATTTGTATAGATTGATTTATTCTTACACTAAAAGTGTGCCTCTTTGGTTTCTCCCAAACTAGAAGTAATTTGGATGCAATAATATTTTTCAAGCACATAGGACATTCTTCAGAAGTTTCCATTTTAAGTAGATAATTCTTAGAAAGGATTATTTTATTAGTTATTTGTGAGTGCATGACATTGATCTAACATTTACTGTAGAACCCCATCTCACTGGTTAAAGAATGGCAGAATAGTGATTATTGACCTTGTGTATTTTTTTTCTTAAAATAAGTCTGTATATTTTAGAGGGATCTGTGTAACAAGGCTTGTAAACAGTAGATTCTCCGGAAGTTATAACCTGCAGTTATGATCTATACTTTGGCTTCTAATTTTGTTTTCCCTTATCTTGGGTAGTAAGGACATTATGACCCTGGAAGATAACCAAAGATGTGCAAAGATACAGCTCATTCATTAGATCTTTAGATGACATTCTCTGCGGATTCCAATTTTAAATTTATTGTTAAAGGAAGGCTGTTAAATTTATTGTGAAAGAGTTTTGTAAAGATGTCACCATAATGATCTAAGATGTAACTCATTGCCTTGGCTGCTGGTAGACCTGTGAAGCACTTTCACGGTGTTCCTCAGGCATGTCAGTTTGTCAACCATGTCTTTAATTTATTATGTATTTAGTAGACCTAACTAAGATCTTGTCAGCCCTGCTAGGAAGAGAGCTAGACTCACTTTGTTCTATATTTTTATAGCCTTTATATCATAAAATCTCACAGTCATCTTATGCTCATAAAATTTACTGAGCTTGTTCACTGAGACAATGTGTATTTGCTATCTTTACTATAAGAAGTATTTTTTTCTTATCACTGTATCCAATATTATATATTCCATTTTTATGTCTAGGACATGTCTGATCATTTTTATTTTTCTTTCTAAATATATTTGTCTGATTTCTTAAGATACATAGATTAATGAATTAAAATTTTAAGGTGGGGCTGTTTTATATGCCTTGTTTGTATATTCCATTGTATCAGTGTAATGGGAACAGTAAAATGCTGCGGATCCCTGAGTGGGTCCAGCAGGCCATCAGCTGGTCCTAGGCAGGGAGCCACGCGGCAGGCGAGAGACAGAGACTTGGATAGGTACACCATGCAGAGTGAGGCTGGATATTTATTTAGTGGATTATGGAAGGGAAGGGGGAGAAGGAGAAGAGGAGAGAGTGGAGAGAGAGAGAGAGAGAGAGAGAGAGAGGAAGGAAGGAGGAGAGAAGAGAGAGAGACATAAACTGCCTCTTCGAGAGGGAGACGGAAAAGGAAGAAAGTCAGGCTGCAAGCAGAAAGGAAGATCTGCCTGCCTCAGTGGACAGAGGAGGAAATGGGCAGGGCTTGTTTCTTCAAGGGACAGAACAGATCATTACATTCCCATCTCCTTTTTATAATAAAAAGGCAGGAGGTTAGGGACCACAGGTTAAAGGAATTGAGGCAACGGATTCTCAAGACTGCTTCCTGCTTATTTGTGGGTGTTGTCTTTGGGTGGGGGGAACCTGAGAATGCTGGGTGCTGGTAACATCCTAGCGTAGCTGGTCTGTTTGTTCCTGTCCAGTGTTTGTGATATGGAAATGTCTGGTATCTCTTAACACCTGTCTAATGTATTGGCAGAACAGAGGACAAAGTTAAGGGGAAAAAAATTAGGACTAGGGAAATGAGGCGAGTGTATCTGACCTGTTTAAGGTGGATTCTTCAATTCAGCTCTCTGGAACTCACAACAATTCTTTGGGCTTGTGAAAACAGAAGTTTTAGATATACACATTGTATAAACAGTAGAATACTTATGTTAGAATGACTGTGACAGATATTTTTGCATAATGAAAAGTATTTTTAAGACTATGGAAGGCAGCGTGAGAGAGAATTTTGTTAACTTGTATTTGTCCTCACACCTTTATTACTTGCAGATACATACCTTAATAACTTGTATTTGTAAATTACTGCAATTTGTTTGGTGAGATTTGTTTGGTGAGGTTGTCCTTTTAAATGACAAAACCTCTCAGCTGTCAAACTACATCAGAGATCTTGGAAAAGGATAAAATTTTACTTGAGTTACTGATTAAAAAACGACAGAGAACTTACTTGGTTGTCACCTAGAGTTACTCCTCAGGGTCCTCCATGGTCACTGAAGGTTGTATTTATCTTTGCTGTTTAGCGCAGAGCCTGCCAGGCTCCAGAAGATCCTGTGGGCTAAGAAACCTGTAGGAAGACAAGCCTACCTTGACCTGAGCAGCTAGGCTGTCAATTCCAGCGATTCTGTCCATGTCTGTCATGGTCTTCAGTTTAGATGAAAGGCAGTTTTGCCCAGTGCCGGAACCAGCCGGTGGCCTGCTGCCACCACTCAGGGATCCATAGCATCTAACTTTTACCCCTACAGTCAGCAAAATACGCATTTGGTAGATAGACAGTAGTAATGTATACATCCTGGTAGGCTTGCTCGACGTGTTACTATTTCTGTTTTTAGCAGTCTCTTCCATCTGTTCATGTCTTTGCTCTCATCTGTAGGTGTCATGATGCTACAACTTTTGGAAAGGGTGATTGAACTGGAAAATTGGACAGAAGGGAAAGGCCTCATTGTCCACGGGGCAAAAAATACTTTTTGCTCAGGATCTGATCTGAATGCTGTGAAAGCACTCTCCACTCCAGAGGCAAGTATGTAGGCTGTGTGCTGAGGCTGCTTCCAGCAGACCATCCTATGTGGTTGTTGTCATAACTTGTACTCCTTAGCTTTCTAACTGTAGTTTCTGTTTTGTTTGGTTTGTTTCCTTTTTATTCTTTGTGAGAAATTATAAAGATTTATAAGGTGAATAATATAGGAAAACAAATAAATGTTGAGGTCTGACCTACAGAGGATATCTGAAAGACAGTTGGGTTGACATGCTGAAAGGACTCATCTTTGTGGTCTAAGAGGAGCGCTCTTGGTTGCGCTGGTGGCTTTGGAGGATGCTTTCAGTATTGCTCCTGCTACTCTCCTTCCCAGTAGTGCCCCCACATTTCTTTCCTTTCTAACTTGATTGAATATTTTTTACAAAAATTGATATTTTAGCATAATTTTAAGATTGTGAAACAGTTGGAAAAATAGTCTAGAGTTCTCCATTTGTGTACCCTATGCCCTTTGTTTTAGCATATTACTTTGGTATAAAGATTACTGCTTGTGAAATCCCACGCTGATCTCATATGTGGAATCTCAAATAGAGAAGCTTATTGGAACACAGAGTAGAATGGTGTTTGACAGGTACTAAGGAGGGAATATGGGAAATAGATTTCTGTTACACAGGTAAATTAGTGCTAGAAATTAGTTCTCTAGCATAGTGCCTATATTGAGCAATGCTATAGTATATCCATAAATTGTGGGTCTTACATTGAGTGTTCTTACACATATTCCACACTGATGATAAAGGGAATGATAAAAATACTATAATTGATGGGTGTATCTGCAGTCTGAATAGGTGCTGATAATTGAATTACTGATTATCTGTAAACTCAAGTTGCATACATTAGATATGTACTTCTTTTACATGTCAGAGTGGTGTAAAAGAGGAGGGAGAAGAAATTTCATAAATTGTTGGGATTGGTAGTTCTGTTGTGTTGTAAGAGGCTGCTTTTTCATTTTTAGGCTGCCCAGACTCTCGAAATAATCACACAGAAACTATATTATTTAAATCTTGCTTGGCCCATGAGCTCCAGCTTTTTATTTGCTAACTCTTACATCTTAATTTAACCCATCTCCATTTATCTGTGCATCACCATGAGGTTTTGGCCTACCAGCAAAGCTTCAGCATGCCTATCTCTGCCGATGGCTCCATGGCTTCTTCCTCCCAGCATTCAGTTTAGTTTTCCCCCCACCTAGATCTGTTCTACCCTATCAGGCCACACCAGTTTTCTTTATTCATTAATAGTAATCACAACATACAGAGAGAAATCCCACATCACTATTTTGTTTTTATTCTACTTTGAATACTATTTAGGAGTCATCATGATTCCTTAGAACTCTCATCTGTGAAAGTTCCTCATATTCTGGGTATATGTATGTGTGTGTGTGTGTGTGTGTGTGTGTATGTGTGTGTGTATGTGTACAGTCTTATTCTGTAGTTCAGAGTTGTTTTGTACTACTGCTGTCCTATTGCTCATTATGTACACTTTGTATCCTTGACTGTCTTAAAAGTCTCCGAAATCAGGGCTAGAGAGATGGCTCAGTGGTTAAGAGCACTGGCTGCTCTTCTAGAGGTCCTGAGTTCAATTCCCAGCAACCACATGGTGGCTCACAGCCATTTGTAATGAGATCTGGCGCCCTCTTCTGGCGTGCAGGCATACATGGAGGCAGAATGTTGTATACATAATAAATAAATAAATCTTAAAAAAAAAAGTCCCTGAAATCCTCCAACCCCAGCCTCCTGAGAGCTAGGCTTATAGTCATGACCCACCACATCAACGTCTTTGTGGGTAATATTCAGGGTTACAGTAACATTTTTAAAGTATAGGGTATATTTATTAATGCTTATTTTAGAACTGACAAGTAGAAATAGTATATATATATAATTCCTGAAATATTTTTTCAAATACTCTGTAATCTTCTGTACCTGAGAAGTAATTATGTTCATGTAAATATGAAATTTAAAGTCTTAAAGTCTAGGAATTGCAGGCAACTAATGTGAGTTGTATGTAGTTGGATGTTTGAATGCATCTAACCCTTGCAGCTGAGGCCATGAGACCTCCTGTGACTGCACATTCTGAATCTGTTCTCTCAGCGCTGCGTTTCTGTGGCCAGCATACTGATTCTTTGTGTAACAAATGTGTCAGTAGCATCTGCATGTTTGATGAACTTCCTTTCTGGGAATGATGAAGTAACTGATATATATGTATGCCAATTTAGGAAGTAGATTACATTGTCCTCCAAATATAATAAAATGCTTTAGTGTGATTATTAAAAAACTTGTCTTTAAAAGGTAATTATGTTGTTTTTTTGCCACTGTAATTTTTCAATTGAAAATTCTGAAGAAAATTTCCAAGCCTCCACAGAAACAGACAAGCCCAGTGTTACCCTCACATATCCATCATGGTGTAAGCACTGGCAATACTGTATTCCTAAGCTATTTCTTTGGATTTTTCCTTTCATGTATAACTGACCCTGTCAGAAGCTGATTTCTTTTGGGGTCTTTTTCTTCATGCTGAGGAAAGATTCTACAGTTATCCCTATTACACAGTTGGTTCGTAATAGAAAATGTGGAAACCAGGAGATGGTCTAATGAAACACAAGGATTAGCCCTGAAGAGGTATGAAAAGGAGAAAAGCAAAAAATAACAAAAATGTGTAAATATTACTCAATTATAAGATTGAGGTTATTTGCCATGGTTGTTTTGGAGACCCTAAGAAGTCTCTTTTTAAAGGTAAGTAGGAATCCAAGTCCATAGTGGTGAACTTCACTGTATAGGGAAATACAGCATTGCTTACTTCACAGCACATGGGTGTAATGCATCAAGGAAAGGTTTGGGGCCTAGAAACCTTCACAGTCTTAACCTAGCTTAAAGATGATGACCTCCTTTGTTACTCTTCTGACAGTGTATTGCTTGGGTCTTTGTTGCTTAAATGTCTATAGTGACCCCCCCCCCCAATTTCTGTCTAACTACTTTAGGCTTGTTGATACTCTTCTGCAATTTTATTTTAACCATAATAATATATAGGCAAATTACTTGTTTCCCAATAATCTTTCAGTGTATTTGGAGGAAATTCATTTATCCCTAAAGCTGGTTCTTATAGCCATAGAATAAGATATTTGGCAAGATGCGAGTTATTATACTCAAGATGGGTGCAAGTGCACAGTGCGAGGCTCGTGGCTTCCTTGTGTGCATTGGGTAATGTACATGTTTTGTCATGGATGTTATTGGGAAGAGCTGAAAGTAGGATCTCAGGATACAGACAGAAAACAAAATCTGTGGCATCTCTCCACATCTTTGTTCAGTACTTTCCAGTTGCCTATACCCAAACATTGGCAGGTCTGTTTTTTCCATGGTTAATTTTTTTCAGGTAGTATTTTATTTTATTTTGCTAAACTAGCCCTTCTTTCTCCCTTTCTTTTTAAATGTTGTTTTATTTTATGTGTATGGGTGTTTTACCTGCATGTATGCCTATGTATTACTTGCATGTCTAGAGAGGACATAACAGAGTATTTTATCTCCTGGAATGGAAGTTAGAGATGTGGTGAGCTAAAGTGTAGGTGCTGGAAATTGAACCCTGGTTTCTAGAAGAATAGTCCATGCTCTTAAGTGCTGAGTCATGTCTCTAGCCCCTTGATTTTTCTTCCTCCTTCAACTCAGGAAAATAAATGAATGTTTGACTTTGTCGCTTTGGGTGATGAATTAATTATAACAATTCATCCTCTTCCTTTTCCTGTTTACTTTCTTGTTTTTGTGTATACCAGACTGTCCTGAAACTGCTAGAGCTTCTCCTACCTCTGCCTCCCAAGAGTTGGGATTACAGTGTGTGCCACCATTCTTGATCAAATTATCCCTGGCTCTTTTGGGCCAGTATTAATTTCTGTTTTACAATACATTTATGTCAAAACACACTCCATTACAGGATTGTCATTAATACTGAATAGTATGCTACTAGCCTCAAGGAAGGTATCACATAGCCTAGCATTTTCTGCCACCCCCACATCTCTGCACCTCAGTTCAAATTGTTTCTTCACTGGTGCTCTTCTCTGTTAGTTCAAGCATTAAAAGACAAAAAACCAATACACAGTACCTTAATGGTTGTTGCACCAAGATTGTTGGGGACTTATTATATCCCTTAAGCTCTCATCCTGTAGAAATAATATGTTAAATAATGAATTGAAACACATTTTTCACAGAAAACAGTTTTTAAGTACTGTAGTTAAGACATAGGAGTTTTTTTTTTTTTTAAAGTACTGTGTAACACATGGACTTCTTAGTAACTAGAAAAGTCCGCCATGATCAGGAGGCCAGATATTTTGTGACTGAAGTTAAGATTTTTGGTTGAAGGTATGGAAGTTAATGATAGTAATAAGGTACTTTGCAATTATGTGGGATTTGGTTTATCAAAAATCTTAAAATCTTAGATCTTTCTGAGGCTGATAGGATATTTCTTATCCTACAGCAAGGGTTACCAAACAGCAGGATGGGAAGAATTCCTAAGAAAAAGAAATTAAATGCAGAAATATTGGGTGCGAAGTAAAGCTGTTTTTTTTTGTTTGTTTGTTTGTTTTTTGTTTTTTTTTGTTTTTAACTAATCAACCCATGAACTGAGAACAGGTCTAGATTTGTTCAGTTGGAATAAAAGTAGAAAAAAAGAAAGTAAATATTGGAACTATTTCAGCGGAGGAGCAGAGAAGATACACTTAGGCCCTGCTGATAGGATTGTGTGACCTGGAGAAATTAGTAATACCACCAGCATCTGAGCCTGATGACCATTGCTGACCATTCTCATTACTAAGCCGCCCGTGTTGTCTTACCCACAGAACGCACAGATTTCTGCCTTTCCCACCATCCTGTAAGCCAACTAGAATCCCTGGTTTAGTCCTCATTCCTGTGGATGAGAAAACCGTGCTCGTAGTCAGGATAGGCTCCCGTGCCCTGTCACAGTGACAGAACGCGAGGTCAGGCGGCCATTTTACTCCTGGGAAGTTTTGCAGTGCTGAGTTTGAGGTACTACTGCAGTACCAGTAAAGTCCAGAATGTGGAAATATCCAGCAGGTTCTAATACTTCACTTAAATCCAGCAGCAGAAGTGGTTTAAACTTTCAAAGAAAAGAATATGAATAAAGAAAAGAGAGAGACAGTGCTATGGGGAGTGTTTCGAAGAGGACTTGCCTTCAGCAGATTGGCTGAACCAGGTTGTTGAGTTGAGGGCGGAAGCTGGAGATGAACAACCAAGCAACAGACAATTAGGAGTGAAGAGTGTGCCTAGGAAGAGAGGACCAGAGTGAAGGAACAGGTGTGAAGCCGAAGAGAAGATGATATGCAAGAAGGACAAATAGAATATTAAAATGTTTTGGGACAAGGCTGAAAGCCGGATTATACTGGATTGAAGAAGGTATGGCTCCTATGAGAAAATATGGAGTTCGTGAAAAATCTGGTACTCAAAGCCTTAGAGTGCAAATCCCAGAGCTCACTAAACCTTCTCTCTTTACACAAGGCTTCCTAGAGGTAGCAGGTGGAGGGTCCAACTCGAGTTCTCCCGAGTCACTGAGTGGTGCTCCACTCTTCCAGGAAGCTGGAGTGGTCTGTCTTGGCTGTCAACTTGATAGGATTGAAGAGTCACCTTGGAAATAAACCTTTGTGCATTCTTATGAGGGGTTTTCTGGATTAGGTTAATTGAGATGAAAAGACCACCCTAAATGTGGGTGACACTTGCATATCCTGGGGTCCTGGTCCAAATGAAGAGCAAACGAGCTGAGTAATGCCATTCCCCTCTGCCTCCTGACTGCGCATGCCGTATTCCCAGCTGCCTTGGGGTTCTGTTGCCACGCCTTCCTTTGTAGTAATAGGAGCGGCGGCGGGGCTGCGTCCCCAACACCCCAGCCGCCTGCTAGCTTATGGCCGAAATAACAACACACAAACTGTATTCATTTAATCACTGCTTGGCCCATTCTCTTCAAGGCTAATTCTCACAATTAATTTAGCCCATTTCTAATCATCTATGTGTGGCACCCCAAGGTGCGCTTACCAGGAAGATTCTAGCCTATGTCCATCCTGGGTCGGAGCTTCATCCCGGGAGTGGGGCATGGCGTCTCTCTCAGGCGTCTGCTCACGAGAGCAGAGCTGTCGAGTCTGACCTCACTTCCTCTTCCTCCCAGCGTCCTGTTCTGTTTACTCCACCTACCTATGTCTTAACCAATAAAATGGGCCAAGGCAGTTCCTTTATTAGCCAATGACCTTCCTCCATCATTTCCCCTTTTTTGGTTTAAATAACAACAACAACAAAAAAAAGGCTTTAACTTTAACATAGCAAAATTACATATAACGAAACAGTTATCAAGTAAAAGTTACAATAATCTTTATCATAACTAAGGAAAACTATAACTATAACTAACTATTCTTAACTCCATCAAAGACTCCAGAAAGATATAATATTACCTAAGTAAACAAGAACTAAGAAACTTCAAACTCTAGAAATGACAAAGACATCTCGCTGCCTGGACAGTCACCCAAAGTTCTTTTGTACCGTTGGGGCATCCATCTTCAGCCTTCAGGCCCATGGTATCCAGCAGACATTTCCATAAAGCAGGAAAATTCAAAGTCAGTTCAGTCACTGTCTGTTGTGTCCTGCAGAATGTCTCGTAGACTCTTTCAAAATGAATCAGGAACCCTGAAAGATCATCTCACCTTAGGCAAGTTCAGTAGTCCTCTCTCTGTGGGTTCTCTGTGTCCAGTTTATGCAATAGTCCAGGCAAGAGCAGTTTCTTGCCCAAATGGCTATCAAACTCCATAAGGTGCCTCTTCAATGCCCATCTTCCTCTTGAAGCACATTGGTGCTGCCAGGAGCAGAGTGTCTCATTGTCATGAAAAGTCCTCAGTTATTAAAACATTAAATGTCCTTTTCTGTAATCTTTGAAAGACATGAAGAATGTCTATCTAAAATATATCTCTATATATCTAGAAAATCTAATTAACAAAATCTCTATCAATAAAGCAAAATCTATACTAATGCAAATTATTCATATCTATATCATATCCCCCTTTAAATGTAAAAGAACGTTTATAAACCATATTTGGGAACATGGGCGCAGTTTTTTCTCTCCAAACTGCTTCCTGCTGAATGGGGGTGTCGTTAATTAGGTCTTTCATGGTATAACCTGTGTGCTAGTTTCATCTCAGTTGGCAGTTGAGCAAAGCAATTTTCAGAAGATGTTCACTGCAACCCTTCAGGAGGGCGTGGTCCATCATACCAAATCAGAATAGAAGAAATGAACAGGGTCTCATCCTCTGTGAAAACAAAATAAGAAACTCCTTTCCAAAGTATCATATCCTTAGATCCAAATTCAAAATATCTATGTTGGATTAGTTCAGAAGCATTTATAAACAAATATCTTTTAGTAGCTTTTGCTCTTTCCTCAGCATTCAAACAATTCAAAGAGAGCATAATAGCATACAGTATCAAAATTCTCTGTATATTTTCCATCTTTGTGCAGCTTTGTTTTAACCTCTATTTTGTTTATTTTTACTTTTAACTCTTTGCTTTTTGAGACAGGTTCTCTGTATCTTTGACCTGAAGTAACTCTGTAGACCAGGCTGTCTTTGAACTCTCAGAGATCCGCCTGTCTTTGCCTCCCAGGCATTGGGATTAAAGGTGTAAGCTACTACACCTTGAACTCACAGAGATCTGTTTGCCTCTGCCTTCTAGGCACTGGGATTAAAGGCGTGTGCTACCACACACAACAACTCTCTTCCTTTTTTTTTTGTTACTTTAAGAACTTTAAATTTTAGTCTGCATATATTTTTAACACACTTCAAACCATTTAGAAATTTTCTTTGTCTTTGAATCTCTCTTTACTGTATATCTCTCTTTTTCTGACCACATGAATCTTTAATTTACCAAGCAATCTCAGTAGGACTAAAGGCGTGGCTTTGCCAGCTAGATTCAGTCCATTCCTTCGCTTTCCAGCCTCATGGCGGATATACAGGCTGTACCCATGTTTACTGCAACAACTGTATGGCATTTCAAGGTCCCTGCCAGCAAGTGAGCTACAACAGACAACACTCAAGTCCTCTCTCGGTAGCCGGCCCTCCTGCCTCAAACAGTCAGAGTTTGCTCTGGCAGGATGGCCCAGAAAGCCGGCATTTTTAAACGGCGCAGCTTTTTTCCTGCTACGGCTGAAAACCGAAAAGCATGTGTTCAGCTTTTCGTCAACACCATTTAAGTGTTTCATGGCAGGACCTCTTAATGAGCTGCAGGCTTTGCAGCTAAAGCTGAGTCAGGAAGCCTCTCTTTGATGAGGCGCTTGCTTGCCTCTAGCAAGCAGAGTAGAACCGAGAAATTGCTGCTACCAAGAAACCAGGCACAATGCTTTCATTTTGTTCTAGAATTACTTCCCAAGGTGTCTCAGGCTTTATGTGGGCGCAGTTGTTCACGTGGGCGCCATATGTAGTAATAGGAGCAGCAGCGGGGCTGCGTCCCCAACACCCCAGCCGCCTGCTAGCTTATGGCCGAAATTACAACACACAAACTGTATTCATTTAATCTCTGCTTGGCCCATTCTCTTCGAGGCTAATTCTCACAATTAATTTAGCCCATTTCTAATCATCTATTTATGGCACCCCAAGGTGCACTTACCAGGAAGATTCTAGCCTATGTCCATCCTGGGTCGGAGCTTCATCCCGGGAGCGGGGCATGGCGTCTCTCTCAGGCGTCTGCTCGCGAGAGCAGAGCTGTCGAGTCTGACCTCACTTCCTCTTCCTCCCAGCGTCCTGTTCTGTTTACTCCACCTACCTATGTCCTAACCAATAAAATGGGCCAAGGCAGTTCCTTTATTAGCCAATGACCTTCCTCCATCATTCCTTGCCATGATAGACTAGAGCCTCAAACTGTTACACCATCAACCCTTGCTTTTAAACTTATGTTTTTAGAACTTTTGCCACATTAGTGAGAAAAAGAGTAATTCAGGAACTGTCTGACTCGCCCTGTGCAGTGCTGAGCTCAAGCCCTGGGAGAACAGCCCATCCAGCATCATTTACGGTTCTGCCTCACAGAGTGGAAAATGAAAATGTCTGTTTTAAAAAAATTTGACTTTGTTTCCTTTCAAACTCTGAATTTAAAAAATATTCCTTATATATGTAATATTTATTTGTGTTTATGTTTATTTTTATTCAAAGAATGGAGTGGCCTTATCTATGTTCATGCAGAACACCTTAACAAGATTAATGAGGTAACGTATCTTTCTTTTAAAAATAAGATTTTTAGAACACCGGGTTTAGTAATTTATTATTTCATTACTTGTACATTTAAAAAGGTTAGCTGAGCTTCAAACTGTGTCTGTTGTAATAATGGACTATTTCTTTATGCCACACGTTCAAGGAGTCACACTACCCTTGATGGTTCTTATTGCTAATACTGCGAAATGTTGAAGACCTTAAAATGATGTATATAAATGAACACTTCCGTTAGAATTATTCACATCCATTTTTCTTCAATATACAGACTACCATTAATAAGCGTTGCTCTGGTTCAAGGCTGGGCAATGGGTGGAGGAGCAGAATTTACCACAGCGTGTGATTTCAGGTAAGGTAAAAATTGCTGTAAGCATAAACACATTTAGCACATGCATGAATGTAGTTTAGCCTTAATTTCAATATTTCATATATTCTTAAACAAGATAATCAATTAAAGACTATTTTCTTTTTATCAGTTATTTAAGTACATAATTTTTAGTTTAATACAGTTACTATTGTTCAATTATAAGCCATTTTTAAAAAACAACAAAACCCAGTGACTTAATCTATATTAGCAAAGGTCCTAAGAAGGAAAGTCAGTGAAATATATGAAACTCTTAAAATTCAAGAGAATTATTCAAAAGGAGTAAACAACTGAAGAGCATTTACATAGAAGAGAGTGGACGTAAAGATTCCCCTGTGGCTGTCTTCAAGAGGTTTTCTGAGATCCATTCCTTTCTGAGGTCAAGTCTCCACCATCGACTTTATAAATGAGAGAACAAAAAATGCAGGAAATTCTGGGAGCTTGTAGTTTTTCCCCCTTAAGATGATTTCCAGCTCTCCATAACTATGTGGGTACAGAGGCCATAAAATCTGCCCATGCTTGAGGCTGCCTTCTTACTACTGTCCCAAGGAACCACTCTGTATTCTGAGCAAACCTCTGTATTCTGTTGTATGCGTGTCCTGAAATCCATAAACATGGAGTAAGACAGTATCACATTGAACTGTTGTGTATTGACAGCTTTGAGGAGTCCCTGGGGCTTTGAGTCATGGCAGAGAACTGTGTTTGCAAGAAAGTTAGGTGCTTTATTTTTAAAAATACACTCGATCCTTTTAAGTGTTCAAAACTGGTATGTGTATTGTAACTGGGGCTAAAACGGGAGGGCCGCAAGTCCTGAATGCTGGCTGCACATCTGCTGATCTTCACTCTGTGTGCCGCTTTATCTGTCTGACTTGAGGAAGCAACTGTGTTAACTTTTTATCTCTCCCATAAATATTTAGATACATTTCAATGAGGTCATGAGTATATAGGTTATACTATAATGTTCACCCTTAGTGCTCACCAAATATTATTTTGAGTCTTAGTATTACCTAATATTACCACTTTATTTTTTTTAGCAGAAATGTCAATAAAATAATAATCTGTCATACTTTAAAACTGTTTCTTTTGTTTGGCATGCTTTCTGCTGTAGGACTAATCTTGATTTCATTATATGTTTTTTAAAAGTATTTATAGCAATACAGTTTACATATTTATAGAATTTACTTATATATTTACTTATAGAATGATTTGGTATAATATTAAACAGAAGATAGTTTCAGCTTCTAAAACCCTGCCCACATAATATATATTTTTAAAAATTTACTTTTAAAAAAGGGATTTATCTTTTTTGTGTGAATTTTTTTCTTCCTTGTGTGTGCACCTGTGCCCACAGGGTCATAAGGCATCAGATCTCCCGGAAGTAGAGTCAAAGACGTTCCGAACTGTGACGTGGGTGCTGGGAATCGCACTCACATTCTCATTAAGAACAATAAGCGCTGTTAACTGCCTAACCATTTCTCCAACTCCCAAAACCACTGTGTCTAAATGTGCTTATTCCTTCTTTTCTACTCATTATGTACACTTCATCTTTCAAAATCTTGGCATATACATTAAGAGAAAAGTTTCAGTCAAATTTTGGCTCAGTTTCTGAAGCTAAGGACATGACCCTTCTGCTCTGATAAATAGCATTTTGAATATCAGAGTTATAAAAGTTTTTGAAATAATCTTATATTCAGATATAAATTGTATGTAGCCAAATTGTGCAGTGTAAAGGTATTTTGATGATGCATATACCTGTGTAACCACCACAGTTAAGATGTGGAACATTTTTTTTTTTACACTTGTAAATAGTGCTACAATAAGCATGGGTATGCAGGTCTCTACTGTATATTAACTTTGACAGGAACAGTGCGTATGACTGATCAAGGGTAGGTCTGCTTTGAGTTTCTGGAGGAAGCTCTGTGCATTTTCGCAGTGGCGGTACAAGCTGCCATCTCACCCCTGCTGTCGTCCTCGCGGGTCTCTGTGACTTGGTGAGAGCAGTCTGACTAGGGGAGGCGAGATCTTCATGTAGTTTCCATTTCCATTTCCTAGCAGTTACTGAATGTTGAACATAGTCTTTTATGCGCTTATTGGCCATTTATACTTACTTTGAAAATTGTCCACTTTTCTTTGTTCATTTATTGGTTGGATTATTATTTGGGGAAGAATAATTTTGAGTTCTCTGTGTGTTTTGGATTACCAGTCTCCTGTCGGACAGATGAATAGCTGGGGAAGATTTCATTCTGTTCTGTGAGTTGTTTTTTCATCCTTATAGCTCCATCCTTTGCATTACAGAGCTTTTGTATTTAATCCAGTCCTACTCGTTCGTTTTTGCCACTTCCCAGGCCACTGATGTGGTATTCAGGAGAACATTGGCTGTGCCTGTATCTTGAAGTGGTTTCCCTTAGGAGTTGTAAAGTCTCAGGCCTTAAAATCTTCATTCACCTTCAATTAATATTTGAGCAAAGTAAGAGATAGTATCTGCTTTTCTCCTCCAGATGGAGGGTCCCAGGGATGAAGTGCAGACTTCGCCCCGCTTTCATCTGCCTCGTCTTCTTCGTCATGCTCACTGGCCGTAGCATCCATCTCGTCTTGATTCCCTGTGCCTGTTTTCTGTATTTCCTCAGTTCTCTTGTTTGCTTCACTTCTCTCATTCATAGTCACAAATGTGAAACCTATGATTCACCATCAGACCATGTCTTGCTTTCTTTTCTTATTAGCATCATGATACTGGGTTTTTATTGTTATTTGATATAGGACTTTTCTAGGCAAATGCATCTGAACTAGGATTCCTTTCACTTCATCCTCCCAAGTGTTGGGATTACAGGATCGTACCTCCCCACACTTGGTTTTCAGGGAGCAGAAATTTTTAGTTTTTTAAGTATTTTTAGTTTTTTAAAAATATTTACAAATGTCTGAAAACTTCTACTTAGTCTCCTTGGATCCTAGTAACAGATCTTCAGGTTATAATTACAGATCAGAAAATTCAGAGATGAAATATTTTTAACTAATCTGTAAATGTCATTCAATTTTTTTCAGTTACATATTTTAATATTTTTCCCTGGTCTGGAATTCAATCAAGAATCTATTTTGTGTGATAAAGATATATAGCCACCCTTACCTATTTGTGGTTAACTTTTCTGTTCTTTTATGTATTCCTGATGTTGAACTGAACATAAATTATAGTAGATCACATAATTAGGAGCATAATTCTTTCTATTTTTCATGGTACAAGGTACTGAATCCATGGAAACATTGGGCAATCCACCTACCATTGAGCTAAATCCCTTGCCTTTTTGTATTTTTAATTTTAAGATGGGGTCTTACCTAGTCACTCAGGGAAGTATTGAAGTTGTTCCTACTTTTGCCCTGGTTTCTCAGGAAACTAGGTTTAGTTACCTGTACACAAGGCCAGACTTAAGAGCATATGTTTTTTATCATTGTTGCAGCGTCTGCCTTTTAAAGGGCAGATTTGTACTATTTTATGTTCATTGTTGTTATTGATACTATTTCATTTCAGTCTGCCATCTTTTAAAAAAGTTATTTATTATATGCATTAGTGTTTTGCCTACATGTATATATGTACCACACGGTGCTCTCAAGAGGGCAAAAGAGGGTATTGGATCCCCTGAAAGTGGAGTTATTGGTAACTGAGCCACCATGTCAGTGCTGGGAACTGAGCCTGGGTCCGCTCTAAAAGCAGAAGCTGCTCTTTACCATTGCACTCTCTCTCCTGCCCCCCAGTCTACCATCTTAATATTATTTTCTAATCACTTGATTCTGTTTGTTCTTTCTGTCTTTTCTCACTGCCTCATTTGTAGATTGTGTAATAATTTTTTACTTCTGTTGACCTCCCACAAACATGCACACATTGAGGGGAGGGGAAGAGAGAGACAGACAAAGAGAAATCAGTTTCTTTTAGTTTTGAATTAACAGTAATGCGTCTTAAAGTGGTCATAGCCTTCCATCAAATAATAAACCAATTCATGTAAGATATTAGGATATTACACTGAACATCTAATTCTTGTGTCCTGGTCTTTGGACATATTTATTTTGCTTCAATGCATTGTAACGGCACAATTACTATATTTTTTCTTTAGTCAATTATCATTTAAATAAGTACACATAGTGAAAGTAAATTGCTGTGCTAATTATTTTCACCAGAAAGAATATTTAGGTACAATTATGCTGATTGTCAACTTGACAGGATCTAGAGTCATTTCAGAGACGAATCACTGGGCATGTCCATGAGGGATTACCTAAATTAGGTTCATAGAGGTTGGAAGATCCACCCTAACTGTGGGCAGCACTGTTTCCTGGGCTGAGGCTCTGGACTGTATTAAAAGGGGCATGCATGCCAAGCACCAGGACTCACAGCTTTCTGTCTCCTAAGTGTGCATGCAGTGTGCAGAGCTACTTTCCCACTCCTGGTGTTATACCTTCCTCCCGATGAAGGAGTGCACCCTCCCATTCCCAATGCCTTACCTTCCTCCCTATGATAGACTGCATCCTTCCCCATTCCCAATGCCTTTCCTTCCTATGATAGACTGACTGCACCCTCCTATTCCCAGTGCCTTACCTTCCTTCCTATGATAGACTGCATCCTTCCCCATTCCCAATGCCTTTCCTTCCTATGATAGACTGTACCCTCCTATTCCCAATGCCTTTCCTTCCTATGATAGACTGACTGCACCCTCCTATTCCCAGTGCCTTACCTTCCTTCCTATGATAGACTGCATCCTTCCCCATTCCCAATGCCTTTCCTTCCTATGATAGACTGACTGCACCCTCCCATTCCCAATGCCTTTCCTTCCTATGATAGACTGACTGTACCCTCCTATTCCCAATGCCTTACCTTCCTATGATAGACTGACTGCACCCTCCTATTCCCAGTGCCTTACCTTCCTATGATAGACTGACTGCACCCTCCCATTCCCAGTGCCTTACCTTCCTATGATAGACTGACTGCACCCTCCTATTCCCAG